TTCTTTTTCTGGTAAATGATTGGGTTTTAAAATAGTGTTTCATTTTGTTTCCTTTTTTTAATGTTGTAAATTTACCATAACAAATGTAATCTTAAAAATAGAAAATAAAAGTATCAGAAGACAAGCTAAAAGTAGCAACAGAACTAAAAGAGCTAAAAGATAAAAGTAGAAAACTAAAACAAGCCAGAAGCTGAATCAGATTTTAAAAAGAAAAATGTTTTTGAAGGATCTGAAAGGATATTGATGTAAATCTGTGTGGAAAATATCTGTGAATAAAGTTAAATATTAAACAAACATAAAAGTTATAAAAAAAGGTAATAAAATGTGTTTTGTTGTTTTCAGATATGCGTACGGCCGACCGGTGGTCCTCAGAGGTCTCACTGACAACACGGTGCGTTTCCAACAGGCTGATGGTTTGAAGCTGCTGAACCGGCTGCTGATTGGTCGCTACCTGCCGTCACAGGCAGGTGATCATGTAACTGACTGTGGATAAACATGKAAACATCTCATCCTGGTTCTGTTTGAGCAGAAATTCAGGTTCCTGTGCTCCAAGTCCAGTTTGTTGGAGGAGTACGGCTCCCGGACCGTGAGGCTCAGCACGGCCAACACGTTCTCGTACAGGAAAGGTAAGAACACCTGGAACCCTGGCCCAGGTGTCYCTGGAGCTCCTCTGACCCTCTGATCTCACCTGTCCCAGTGGACGTTCCCTTCCAGACGTTCGTGGAGRAGCTGCTGAGACCTCAGGCAGCGGACGCCCTCGGCAGCGGTGAGTCTCTGTGCCCCAGTCGGACTCAGGTTTACAGAAACTGGACCGGTTCTGAGGACCTGAACTTGTTCTCCTGCAGACACTCTGTACTTCTTTGGAGACAACAACCACAGCGAGTGGCAGAACCTGTTCAGTCAGTATGAATCTCCTCCGTTCGTCTTGCCGCACACCACCGGGGCCTACAGCTTCGGGATCGCAGGTCAGACTCACAAACAGTGGCTTTACCTGTGTCTGTTAGCAAAATATCTCATGGACCACTGGATGGAGTTAAATAAAACTTTCAAAAATATTTATTAAATTAACTCCTACAGCTGATTAACCTGCTAGGCTTAGAATTTAATTGTTGCATTTTATTAAATATCACAACATCGTTGGATTGTGATTTTATTTTATTTGATATCGTATCRTGATATTATCATATTGTGATATTATATTGTGGTCTTGTATTGTGATATTGTACATTTTTATTGTATCAAGATTTTATCATATAGTGATACTGTATCGTGATTTCATTATATCATATATCGTGATATTATTGTATCATGATGTTATCATATAGTGATTTTATCTTATGATTTTATTGTATCGTGATATTATATTGTGGTATTATCACATGACATTTTTATTTTATCACAGTTTTATCATATTGTGATTTTACCTAATCATATTATCATATTTTGATATTATATTGTGATATTATTGTATTGCATTTTTATTGTGTCAAGACTTTATCATATTGGGATTTTATTGTATTGTGGTATGGTACCATGGTATTATCGTATAGTGATTTTATCATATTGTTATATTGTATTGTGATTTTATTATCATGTGGTATTGTGATATTATCATTTAGTGATTCTATTGTATTATGATATTATCGTGTCATGATATTATTGTATCATATAATCATATTGTGATATTGTATTGTTATTTTGTATTGTGATATTATTTTATTGCATTTTTATCATAGCAAGGTTTTATTATTGATGTTTATTATTTAGTACAGTGATATTATTGTRTTGTGAGACTTTATCCGTCTTCTTCAGGTCCTGGAACAGGAGTCCCGTTCCACTGGCATGGTCCTGGTTACTCTGAGGTCATCTATGGAAGGAAGGTAAAAATCCAAACAAGTTTTGTTTGTTTTCCTGTTGCTCTACAATCATGGTTAAGCAGCAGCGAAACATAAAATTCAGCATCAGACATGAAGCAGAGTGAACAGGTGAACTCAGGTGTCTCCAGAAACCAGCTCTGGGGGAACTGTTTGATCCCAGAAACTCTGGGTTCTAGACCGGTTCTGTTWAAAGGGTTTGAGTTTTTATCACAGTTAGTCAGAGATGAGCCTGACTTACACCCAGCCAGGTGAGAAATGATTCAAACACAGGTTAGTCCACCTGCTTCAGACCAGAGCCTCACCTCAGAGAACAGGAAGTAAACCTGAGAGTCCTCGTGAGCCCAGTTTATTCCAGTCACTGTTTTAATCTCCCACTAAGACCTCCTTCTTTCCTTCTTCACACAGCGTTGGTTCCTCTACCCCCCTGATCAGGAGCCTCACTTCCACCCGAACCGGACCACCCTGTCCTGGGTGACAGAAACCTACCCGAACCTCCCGGAGAGCGAGGCTCCGCTGGAGTGCACCATCCGACCTGGAGAGGTGAGAGCAGCCGAACGACGGCGATTTGAACCAAAACAGAGTCAGTTTGAAGAGCAGGTGGCTGCTGAGACTTCTTGATTTAAAATCCTTGAGCTKTTARCTAGCATTTTGCTGCTTTTAACTAGCTTTCTTTTACTTTTAGCTAGCATTCTGCTGCTTTTACATTTAGCTAGCATTCTGCTGCTTTTACTTTTAGCTAGCATTCTGCTGCTTTTACATTTAGCTAGCATTCTGCTGCTTTTACTTTTAGCTAGCATTCTGCTGCTTTTAACTAGCTTTCTTTTACTTTTAGCTATAATTCTGCTGCTTTTACATTTAGCTAGCATTTTGCTACTTTTAGCTAGCATTCTGCTGCTTTTAACTAGCTTTCTTTTACTTTTAGCTATTATTCTGCTGTTTTTACATTTAGCTAACATTCTGCTGCTTTTAACTTGCATTTTGCTACTTTTAACTAGCATTCTGCTACATTTAGCTAGCATTCTGCTACATTTAGCTAGCATTCTGCTACATTTAGCTAGCATTCTGCTACATTTAGCTAGCATTCTGCTGCTTTTAACTAGCATTCTGCTGCTTTATATTTAGCTAACATTCTGCTGCTTTTAACTTGCATTTTGCTACTTTTAGCTAGCATTCTGCTACATTTAGCTAGCATTCTGCTGCTTTTAGCTAGCATTCTGCTGCTTTTAGCTAGCATTCTGCTGCTTTTAGCTAGCATTCTGCTGCTTTTACATTTAGCTAACATTCTGCTGCTTTTAACTTGCATTTTGCTACTTTTAGCTAGCATTCTACTACATTTAGCTAGCATTCTGCTACTTTTAGCTAGCATTCTGCTACATTTAGCTAGCATTCTGCTGCTTTTAACTAGCATTCTGCTGCTTTTAGCTAGCATTCTGCAGCTTTTACATTTAGCTAACATTCTGCTGCTTTTAACTTGCATTTTGCTACTTTTAGCTAGCATTCTGCTACATTTAGCTAGCATTCTGCTACTTTTAGCTAGCATTTTGCTGCTTTTAGCTAGCATTTTGCTGCTTTTAGCTAGCATTTTGCTGCTTTTAGCTAGCATTTTGCTGCTTTTAGTTAGTATTCTGCTGCTTTAAGCTAACATTTTGCTTTCTTTAGCTTTGCCAACTCAGTTTCAGCTTCCTCAGTAACCTGCAGCCGTCACTGTAATCACTCAGAAAATATAATTTCTTCGTTTTTTCTTCTCTCAGTTAAATGTTTGTTTGTTTACTTGATGTGTTGTTGTTGTTTGTTTGTCAGGTTTTGTATTTTCCGGACCRCTGGTGGCACGCCACCCTCAACCTGGACTTCAGTGTTTTTATCTCCACCTTCCTGGGCTGAGCTCTGTCTGCTTCTGCTGTGGCTCAACTTCTCTGCAGGGAAACAACCAGCTGAGTTTTCATCAGAAAAATAACTTATTTCTGCTTCATTCCAACAATTTTAACCTGATTTTATTACATTTAACTACGACCCTGGTTTAGAATATGTTTAGTACAAATGTTTTTAGAATCCCACAGGACCAAAAGTCTCTGTAGAGACTGAATTCATGCAGAAACTGAAAAACTTTTGTTTTAAACTGATTGTGAAGATAAAAAACACTTTAATCATCATCAAGACTTTTTGACTTCACAAACTCAAGTTTTGCACTTATGACTCTTAATTCAGTAAATTATATTAAAGTCTTAAACTTGTTTTTAGTTTGAATAAATCTAAAAACAATAAACTCAGATTTTAAAACATTTGTGTTTTGCTTTTTTATTTAAATAAATATAACATCACTTATTTCTTTATCRGTAAATAACAGTTCATCATCAGCGTATACGTTTATACGGTTTTACTTCAGAGCATCTAATGTGTTTTAAAAGATATGATAATTTTTAAAACATATTTTAACAGATACATAAGATTTAATCAGAAAACTTAAAACAATGAGTTTTAAATAAGAAAATATTTGGTTTTATTAGTTTATTTAAAGAATCTTAAAGCGAACACTGAACCACCCTCAGATCTGCTGTGTGACGTCTGGAYGGATTATATTTTCTGTGAGAGGACAGACAGGATGGACAGCAGCAGAGGRACAGACGGGGACAGGGAGTGAAAGGTTCTGCTGGACGAGCTGTAGAAGGTGATGTAGCCGGGCCGCTCGGCGCCGACGTGGCTGTCGATCCAGTTCTGGTACCGTGACACTCGGGTGTAAACTCCCGCTGATGATTAACATCAAACCATCGGATCAAAACACACGTTGGTTGCTAAATGTCTCGAGTACACAGTTTACAGTGAGTCAAGATGAAAAGTTTGGAYCCTCACTATCGGGCTCAGGGCCCCCAGCCCATGACCCAGCACCCAGCTGTCCTGGGAAGAAGCTGTGCTCCGCAGACAAACAAACGGGTCGGATATAATCTGTGAAATTCACCGGAGAGGACAGCTGCAGCAGGGCGATGTCGTTCTCCTTCGTCTTTTCATCGTAGCCCRGATGGTTGAAGACCCGCGACACAGACCGGACCTCCTCGTGAGGATTCGGACCCTCCTGGGAGTCCTGTCCGAGGTAGACGGTCACATCTGAAGCGCTGTGACTGAAAACCCAAACGGTGCAGTTGCTTTCAAATCAAACGAACATCTAACAGGAAGTGACCTGTCAGCGTTTACCTGCTGAAGCACTGAGCCGCCGTCAGAACCCACTTCCTGTTGATCAGAGAACCTCCACAGACCGAGTCCTGAGAGTCCAGACTCACCTGCCAGGGCCAGGAACCAGCAGGAGCATCCTGACCCCCCACAATCCTCAGGTGCCTCTGAGGGTTCAGGGGGGCCACGCCACAAACTGAAGGTAAACAAACAGATTAAAGGTAAACAAACAGATTACAGGTAAACAAACAGGTTACAGGTAAACAAACAAACTGAAGGTAAACAAACAGGTTACAGGTAAACAAACAAACTGAAGGTAAACAAACAGGTTACAGGTAAACAAACAAACTGAAGGTAAACAAACAGGTTACAGGTAAACAA